CTAAACTTCCCTACTAAATGTCGCTGTTGAGTTCCAACAAGATCGAATTCGCGATCCGCATCAGTCAGAATACTAACCATCATGAACTTCTTTGTTCCTTTTCTGTTTTATTTAAGCAGAAATGTATGTTACCTACTATTAAACCGTAATACTGTTTTGTTACAGTGAAACCGTTAACGGTGGAGATAGAGAAGAAAGAAGAAACATTTGTTGCTGATAGACGGTACGAAGTTAACTGCACTTCAGCCGGTTCAAGACCTCCAGCAGTTATCACATGGTACAAAGGAAAGCGGCAACTGAGAAGGACTCGGGTAAGTAAGTCGAACTTCCGTTTGAAGTATGTGTACATATCCACCCACACATACATTATATACGTGCGTTCCTTTGTACATACACCTACAAATACATAATATGATGTATTTGCCATTCGCAAACATCATAAACAGTGCAGGGTTATGTTGGCAAAGGCGTCAATTCGATTAACGTTCTAGTTTTGCGGTAGATCATACATATCTGAATTAGTGGACTAGGTTTCAAATGTTTTTCCCATTCGGCCATGATTACGCAGAGTGATTTTAGAATTAGGTGATTGCGAAAATGCCGGACAAGTACTGCACACGAGCATCAACGTGGTTAGATCTTTACGCTAAGAAAAGGATAATTAGAGGTTATATAAATCCTACTTGGGTCAGGCCAGAAAAGAAAAACTTTTGGGTGTTTCATTCCCACCAGTCAGTAATGCTGGTGGGCGGGCAGTCCGTCCGAATTACGCCGGAAGGTAGAGCGGAAGGCCCTTTTCAGCCTCTTTTTAGTAATGGTGGCAATTGGTTGGTGGTGGTTCGGGTGAGAATGATGAGACGGACGAAATGAAGATAGAAAAGAATGAAAGATTATCTGTGGAATATTACTGCGTCAGCATTTACCTAAGTGATCAAGAAAACCACAGAAAAACTTGAACCAAGGCAGACGGTCCCGGAATCGAACCGGCGTCCTCCCAAATGCTAATCAATGGTGTAAATCTTTAGGCCATGCAGCTCGGTCAGACAGAATGGTCTTAACCTTGAAGGATCGAAGTTTTTACTAGTCGACGACCTGCATTACAAAGAATGTCATAGTGGAATGGTCTAGGACCTTTTAAACATGAATAATGCTAAAAAATAACCCCTCTACAAAATGTTCTTTTAGGTTTATTGTCTTTGAAACACGCTAAGGCGCAAGTATAGTATAATAACTTTTTCTGAAAAAAAAAAATTAAAAGGTTAGGATATGGACTGTGGTAGTTAAACTATTGAAACTGTTCATACCCTTAATTGACGTTATTTTTTTTTTAATATTGTTAGAAGATATCCATTAGTCAACCGTGGAATGAAAAATTATTGTCTTGTTTGAAAGGACACGTCTAAGAGGACATTACCATTATTGCAGCAATTTTTCGTTAATGAAAAGTAGGCCAAAGAAAGACAGGTTGATGGAAATCCGATTTGTAAAATTTTCACGTTGAAAAGATATTCTACTCTAACTATTAATTTTTCTATGTCAAACAAGTAAAATACGTGATCCAGTGATTTTTTTTTTGAAACAACTTTACGTATAAGGTTCTTAAATCCATAAAAGATTGATAAGTAATAAAAACAATTCTACATCAGAAACTTATCAGGGAATTAGAAAAGGTTAAATTTTTGTAATTAGAAAGGAACCGTAACAGAAACTCCAAGTTACGTTAATATTTCAGGTTTCTCAATGGAACCTAAATTAGAAATCCATTTGACTGATTTGTTATTAGCGCGATTGTAAATTATCAAGGATATGGTCAAACATACATACAATTTAGACATCTTTTAGAAGTGAGTTAGTTTAATATGAAATATTATTCTGAAAATTCATTTCTGAATTTTTTACCCACTACAAACTACCTCAAATTAATAAGGGAAAAATTTTTGTTGTTGTCACACCCACGCCGGGAATCGAACCCGGTACCTCTCGTAGTTTAGTGGACAGAACATTGGTGCGTAAAGCCAAAGGTCCCGGGTTCGATTCCGGGTGGGGGTGTGACAACAACAACCACGACCAACCGACCTACAACAGCAACAATTTTTCCCTCATTAATTTGAGATAGTTTGTAGTGGGTAAATAAAAAATCGAAAAAATCACTTCAAATTAATATTTCGAATATTTGTAGGTGTAAAGATGGTATTCGTTTTTTGTGGTAATGGTGTAATTAAATCGTATATGCAAACTATTATTAATGCAACAGGAAGCAGTATGTCATCGAGCACTGCAAGTGTCATTTTTGGAGTCGTCAATTTCGTTGGTGGTAAATAATTTTGGGTAAATCTACCCATCAATAAAAGAAATTAATACGAATGAATTTCCAGCTCTAGCTTCCGGAGAAATTGTTGATCGTTTTGGCAGAAGACCCTTGCTCATGGTCTCCAGTTTGTTGTGTTCTATAAGCATGTTATCTCTAGGATTATACTTTTATCTTCAAGACGCCACTTCTTATAATATTGATGCAATTTCCTGGTTACCAGTTACCAGTTTGGTGCTTTTTCAAGTGTTCGTTGCGATTGGGATTCTTTCCATACATTACGTGATCGCCTCAGAATTGTATCCGATCAATATAAAGGCTGTCGCCGTGTCCTCAGTTACGTTGCTGGCACAAACCTTGGGCATTGGTCTTCAATTTGCTTTTCAGCCATTGAGCGAAATTGTGGGAGAGTATACTTGCTTGTGGTTCTTCAGTTTTTGCTGCTTTCTAGGATTCCTCTTTGGACTCTTCATACTCCCGGAAACGAAAGGAAAATCGTTTGACGAAATTCAAATGCTGCTCAATCGACGAAAGGGCGAAAAAGTTGTTGATAATAAAAATCAAGAAAATGGAAAATTCTAATGATGTAACTATTATAAACCGTCCAGTTGAAAATAAATTTTTATTTTTCTCGCCTTTCTTTTAATATTGGTGCAAGACTGGATTAGTCTAAAGGTTTAGAAAGTTTTTCTTCGGCACGTATTTCGAACACTACTAATCTTGAGAAAAACTCTTAGATGAAATGGAATGCATAATACTTAGTCATTTTTCTTTCTTCATCTTCATATTTCATATTGTTTTTTAAAATGGATAATTAGCTAGTTACATGCAATGGCGTTTCTCGGAGAAGACTCCTCATGCTATAAGTCACAATTTAAAGCCTATATTGAACTTAAATATGTTGGGCAAATAAAAAGGTCTATCCTGACAAGATATAAAGAACATATTGTTCACTTTAGATTTAATCGGATTGAGAAGTCAAGTGTTGCCCAGCATATTTTTAATACAAACCGCCCTGTAGGCCCTAAATGTTTAAAGTTAATCAAAGAAGTCTCTTGTAAATTGGAACCAGACGTTTGGGAATGTTTACATATTCAAATAAGTAAAAATAATCTCAAAAACTCAGATTTTGGACCCATTGATAATTCATTATTAATCGTAAGCTATATTCCCTATCTTATGAGAAGTTTTCGATTCCTGAAGCATGTGTAGTTGTTTTTGGCCTCTTAGGTCTTTCTAGCTACGCTTATTGAACACTTACGTTACCTGTTCTTTCCCTTTTTTCCCGATTGGGAAGTGTGCTGTTAAGCATAAGCTAATTGGGTGTAAGGGCTCACAAGGCCTTCTAACCTTCCACATATCAATGGTTATTGAACACATTTACATCTTAAAATCGAATTACTTACTTATTTGTCGAAGCATACATTAGTTAATGTCATTTCTAGTTAGTAGTGGTTTTCAGACTTTGTCTATTAGGTACTGAACGTATTCACGTTTTCCTACAAACCTATCTACTTCTTTCACCCCCCGCCCTTCGGATGTTAAAATTTAGTGTACCTTCCACATCTTCTACTCCTTTAAAATTCTTCAAAAAGATATTTTTATAAATTTAAATAATACAATGAATAGAAAAGATTAGAAATAAGGAGGTATTTAGAAACTATAGGAGGACAGATGTCACTAACGAAGTCAATTAGAAGAAGGCGAAATAGATTGACAGGTCACCCCAGGCAGTCATCATCATAAGGTCGTCAGTCTTAAGACTGGTTGGACACG